CCTATTGCTATTATAAATAATGAATAATACTAACAGTAGCTACCACTGATCAAATTTGTTACATGCGCAGTAACTAGGGAGGAAGAGAAGGCTGGGTTGAGGCCCCTCCCTGTCTGCGTATGTTTCCACACTGGGCTTGGCTGGGCTCCATACAGTTTTGTGTTTGTGCCTGAAGCATTGGCAGGGCTCATGCTCAGGCTTCTATTACTAATAACTCCTTCTTACTCCTTTAATCCAGTGCTCCTCACATAGGTTAAAATTTTCATATGTTTTAACCAGCATTCCTATGGGGTGTTAGTGTTTCCTGAGCTATAGAGAGTCTACATTCAGCTGTTATATTGAATAATGACTTTATACAGAGGGGAAAAATGTTAATGGATAGAATTTTTTCAATTCAAGTTGTTCTCCAATAATTTTTCACAAGTCTTTGGTTCCAGACAACTTTTCTGCTAGAGGTTGCTGGTGTATAACATAAGAAAATGAAATTGCAAATTGATATCAATAGGAAAACTGAAAATCAACCATATGCCCTTGGTTCAACAGTTTGTTGGGTGTTTTATTTTATTTTAAGACATGTGGACTGGTGGTTATGAGTTCATATGGCATACAAATAATATAAAGTAGATTTCTTTTTTGCTAGTAAAAATTTATATAATAGCGTATAGGTGAAATAAAAATTTATCGATTTGTATTTTTTCAAAAATATTCTACAGGGAACATGGTATTCTGCAAATAAAATCAAATGCTATAAGTCTCTGTTCCCTGAACAAGTCTGAGGTATCCTGACTTAGAAAAATAAGTACTATGTTCCTCTGAAGAGTACGAATAGAAGAGATTCATGGATAAAGGCAAAGCCTAAAAGACACATCATCTAAGTGTCAAGTAACTATGCAGTTATTTATGAATTATTGCTGAAATTGATACGTCTGAGGATTCAAACCAGTGTTTGACACTGTAGCATCACGAATGCAGATCTAAGATCTTAGTGTTCTTTTGCAACAGAATTTTGTGATTTGGAAGGCCTATGGAGATTACTTTGAATGAACTATCTGAAACTTGAATCTCCCAATATATGGTGCTTTAGCCGCTCTTAGACCACCTCCAGTAAGACCTTCATGTGACCCTAACTTCAAGGTAAAATAACAGCATCTGGGTTTGAGGCTGTGTTATTTACATGTGGACCTGTGTGAAGGAAATGAATTGCCCTGGTACATTGTTAGACTAGCAGGATGTTTTATAATATGAATTTATACTAGTTTTATGTGGGTACAAATCTGAAATTGTAGTGCTACAATTGTATTCCAAACTCTTTGAATCTTAAATAATAGAGCATGTCATAATGTTTTAAGCTGTAATCCTAAACCGAATATCACTTAACTGCATATTACCCATGGCCTGAGAGGGGAGGAAAATTCTCTTTATATATACAGCCTTCATTCACACAAGACATTTTATTTGTGTTACCAATTTAATAAAATCCCTCGCTGTGCAAATGTTCCCCATATGCAGAGACAGAGGACTAGAATGAATAAAGCCAGTTCTTTGTATTCTTCAGATTTTTAAAAATTGTGTATATGTAATATTTTGCCTGTTTTTTACATTGCAGAATATGGAACTTTGTCACTTTTACTTTTTTCTTCATCAAAGTAGAAAGCTCACAACATGAAACTCAGTTTTCATCATCCTATTTTGATATATCAACTTTTATGGGGCTTGAATTCCTCATGCAAAATTGTGGTATTTTCCCCAAAGCAGGTAAGGCCAATGAGAAACGACAGAGGGCCAGGAAGCCAGGGGGAGGGTGCTTTGAGACTAGAGCAGAGAAAGAACAGGATAAAGCTGGTGCAGGAGTGGATGAGTGTTTGGCAATGACTGAGGAAGGAGTTAGGAAGATATTGGACAGGAATTAAACAGAAACGGTGAGTGTAGTGAAGGCGTCTTTGTAACAGATGGATGGGACTAAGTCCTGGCTGTGCCATTTACTGGCCACATAACCTAGAGAGAGGTATTTATTTCATCTCTCTGAACTTCCGCTTCCTTCTTTGGAAAATGGGGAAACTCCCGTCTTCTAGAGCTGTGGTGAAAGACCCTGTGGAAAGAGTACCTCACCTCCCAAGCAGTGTGTCTGCTGCTCCCCTTCAACTTCCCTGACTCTGTCCTTCCTGGGCTGGAGACAGCCTCGTGATGACGATGCAATCAGTGTCTGAAGCCTTCCCATCCCAAATCGATCCTTTTGTTCTAGTCTGTTTACTACGGAGAATTTCAAACATTTATAGCAAAAAATAGTAGTAATGTATAATGATTCTCCACATATTTCTTACTCAGCTTCAACAATTACAAATCATGGCCCACCTTTTCATCTATTAATACATCCTCATCTGCTCCCTATCCTCTGTATTAATTTGAAGCAAATTCAGATGACATACTATTTTATCTATAAATGTTTTAGTATTTATCTCTGTAAGATAAGGACTCTTAAAAAATACAATCATAGGCCGGGCGCAGTGGCTCACGCCTGTAATCCTAGCTCTCTGGGAGGCTGAGGCAGAAAGGATTGCTTGAGCCCAGGAGTTTGAGGTTGCTGTGAGCTAG